GTTTCCATAAAATATCACGTTCGACTAGCACTGATGAGAAGAAAAGCTAGGTTGCATCCGATGCCATTCATGAAGTCGACCACCTTCCTTGATGATGGCTGCGATGCAACGAAGGAAATGAAAGCAGTGCTGATACCCAAGCGACATCCGAATAAATTTAAGCATGGAAGCGGCCTTAGATGGTCACCTGACTGTTCTTGGTGAAAGGTTATGTGTACAATGAACGCTGTTTGTATTGGTTGTTAGGATCCATTCGGTTGCGAGCGGCGGTGAGAGCGAGAATGGCGCTTCATTCCACACCTCATTAGGAAAGAACCCGTAATTTACGAATGACTTGCAATGTAATGGGTGAATCCTAGGATTATATGGCCAAAATAAATTAGAAATGAGATACCAAAATTGAAAGAGAAGAAGGTGCGAGAATGGCGGATAGAAGAGAAGAAGAAGGGATTATTCAGAAGCACTAAGAGATCAAGAATGCAAAGGGGAATTAGAAAGTGATGGAGTGTCGGAAGAACAACAATGAGAGGGAGCGAAAAAGTATAGCTGTTAAAAAAAGGAGATGAAATGACACAATGAAAATACAAAGATGGAAAAGAATTTGGAAATCACTTACCGTTTTCTATGAGTCTTCCACGGAATATGTCGCGTGGGGACCACTAAAGCCGGTTATGGGAATTAATGCGCGCCCTTTGTCGTTGCGATTTTGTCTTGATTTTGATGTTCAGGAATTGCGTGAGCAACTACATCAGATCGAATCGGAGCGTATGGAATCTGTCATTAACATTGGTATCTCCAAGAGAGGAAATTCTATGTTTGCAGAGGATAGTAATGTGATATCATTCATCTTTTATCTCTTGGTATATGCTGATTCGTGAAGTTTTAGTTCGCCGAGGAACGCCTCAAGCTGGAATCCGATTTTAAGCTACTGTACTCCAGATATCTACTCGTTAGTGAGGAAAACTGTCGGCTTTACGGTGAGTTCGACGAAGCACGACTTTTCGCTTCTCGACAAAGCGGAAACGAGGTTGGTGATGGCGGTTTAAAAAATGGGATTCTAATACGATTATGCTGACAACTTATATACCATACACCATATACCATACACTCCCATACAGCATAGATGTGTCCTCTGCATACTACTTGTTTCATTTTCTTTCATTGGACCCGTCTCATGTCTAACGTCCACTACCGTCCTAGGATTTACGTGTGGACTGGAGCTCGAGGAGGATTTTTCAGCTTCGGCACACGTTTCTTTGATTTCTGGTGGAGTCGATTTTTCGTGGAATGCTTAACTGTCCATTCAGAGTGTTTTCAGGTCTTCACAACAGTCATTTGCTTTTGCAAATGGCAAGTGGCTCTTCCTAGATAAGTCATCTACTGATTTTCGGAAACGGAAAGGATTCGGGGCTTTGTTGCACTGTAACAAGATTAAATAAGGCCTTGCAAGTGTTACTAAAACTAAACTTTAACTCTGCGTTCACCAAATCTTTTGTACTATTCATCAAAAACGCAGGATAGAACGTTCATTGTTGGTCAACCTTTGATGAGAAATACCCCGTGTATTCAACTTTTCCAGCCATCATTCAGATGATAGAGCGCATATTTGGCTTATACGATGACTAGCGGTGGCCTAAGTATGTTTCAAGTTAATATATTTAACATTTCGGGAGAGTATGGTACCCACCTGAGGCTTCATAGGAAGGGGAGTTTTGTGAACTCACAGCAGGAAACCGAAAGAGTGTGCTGGCTCGTGTAGATTGCCGGACAGTTCTGAACACTGTACTTTACGTAATTATCCGCTGGATTGATCCTCATCGTTTGGGTGTTTAGAAGAATTCAGAATCTCCTTAAGTTGTTCCATTTACGCCTAATTGTTTATTTCTGTTTAAGTACAACTAAGGAATGGATTGCAATACGAGTACAGACCTTGTGCTTTCCAACACCGCCATGAACGTTATGTTTATCTCGTTGCTGTACGTGTTCAGAAACTCAGTTCTTAAAGGCAGCTGGACGATGTCGATGCTACTACATGTCTACAGAATTAGTTGAACTCAGAGCAAGACTACAAACAATGGACTATCGGTTGGCACGTGCGCAGAATGATCTTATCGATTTAGCGAAGACGAAATGTGGCACTGATCCGTTGCTGAAAAGTTACTATAGATCCTTGAAGTGAGGTTAATACCTACATAGAACGTAGCTTTTCTTGATTATATGACTTCGTTAAGGCTTGAAATGGAGTCTCTACGTCAGGAACGAAACAAATTGCGCGACGAACGAAATAAACTATTGGACGAGAATGCTTCCCTAGCTGTTAGTTGCCCCTTTGTTGTCCGTTATCCAATCTTTTCATTGGACTCTTTCATTAAAAAAATGCTTACGGTTTCTAAAACATCAAAAGCTTATTGCTTGTCGACCTCAAGTTAAAAAGGATAAAGGATAAAGCTCTCACCGTTGATCAATCCCTGAGGGGTGCATGATGCATTCGACTTCATTAAGCATCGTTGAAGGTGATTGAATGCATATCTGGCCTTTATAAAGACATACGGTGGCCTGCGACGCATCCGGCCAGTGCTGCTATCCTCCTAGACAAGTCTGCTACCAATTTGCCGACACCGGTGAAACGGAAGGCTTGGTGAGCCTTGGCCGCGGGGATCGATCCCGTGTGCATTGCAGGGCGCCTCCAACCACTGCGTAACACACGTTCGTGATATCAGGTTATTATTTTGTGAAATTGTTTAGGCTCGCACCTCAAAAGCCGAGAAATTCATGGAAGTCGCCAAGGATGACATAGAGCGTCTTAAGATGCAGTTATCAATGTTGAGAGAGAATGGTCGGAAGAAGGATGCTACTGAAGGTTCATTTGCGTACTTATTACCGGAAAATAGGTCTGGTCATGTATGAAAAATGGAAGGCTAGTGCTCATGTTAGGTCTTTTAGAATGTTTTCAATTTAGTATCGCAATTGGTATACGGGACAAATGCAAGTGATGGAGCAAAAATTTCTGCAGCTGTATCTGCTCTTGAGTGGACAGCTACTTCAACTGAAGATCACAAGGTTTGTCTCTTATTTCTAGTATCCCTGCAAGTAGTAGATCTCTGTATGTACCGGTATTTTTTCCATCGGATTGTCATTCGTACTCTGTTTAGATTGTAAATACCGTGAATGAAGAAAAACAGATCCTGTCCTTTCAGGTGCAAAATCCTCATGGGTTTACAGATCATGATAAGGGTGTGACAAAAGCTGAACCGCTCACGCCTCTTTTCCTTAACGAAAAACATAAGTGAGTTATACTTTTGCCCTTGTTTTGCCAATATTAGAATGGTAGGCTTAATCTTCTACGTTTTTATGGTGGCTTTTCAAGAGGTTACGTATTATAA